CCCCAGCCAGCATGGCTGGCTGGGGAATTCTGGGAATTGAAGTCCACCCATCTTAAAGTTTCTGAGGTTGAGGAACCTTGTCATACAGTAACTGGAGATCCTCAGGTTCCTCATTCCTACACATTCGGTAAAGTAATGGGTGAGTGAATTTTCAAATTACATGGCTTTTTTCATGAGCTCCAGTGGGTCCTATGATATCTCAACCTACCTAAACATCAGGAAAGAAGACCGTTCGTGTGGCAAAGGAAGAATGAGGAACCGGTGGGCCTTCAGAACGCTCTTGCATTTTAACTCAGAGTACCCCTCAACACAACAGCAGTGTGGTGAATTTGTAGTTCAGTCATTCCCTCAGCCCAAGCTACCTCACAGGGGGGTTGTCCTGGGGAAAAATAGAAGGAAGTGTTACGTATGCCACTGTGAGCTCCTGCACTAAAGGTAGGCTATAAATCTAATTGATAGTATTAATCACCAACATCATCATCTGGGTGTCACAAATTCCCCACCATTGCTACAAAAGGAAGTTTGTTTCCTTTTCTTTTTCAGGAGAAAAATTAGAAAGTACAAGATTTATTTTGAAATCCATTACTGTGCTTAATTCAAAATAGGTAAGGTTTTGAATCCCTGCGTAGCCAAGTCACTGTTGGGACTGCTGCCTTCTTTTTGACAGGACTCCTTAGCCTTTGACAACTGTGAAGCAGACTGAAATTCAGCAGCTGAAGCGTTACTGGTTGAATTGCTGTCTGACCTGTAGATATGAAGGGAAAGGGTTTGGGTCAAGAAAGTTAGGGACTTAAACAAAGAAAGGCAACTGGATCAACTGCTTTGAAGGCCCAACATAGCAGGAAGATCAACACAGCAGAAACAGCACAGCTTTGGGTTGGCGCTTTCCCTGCAGTAGAGATTTGGGGCCTGGAAGGATTTCTTTTTTTTGGGGGGGGGGTGCCTTCAAGTCATTGTTGACTCCTGGCGACTGCCTGAGCAAGGCTTTTCAGAAGTGGCTTGCCCTTGGCTCCTTCCTAGGGCTGAGGGAGGGAGACTGGCCCAAAGTCACCCAGCTGGCGGTGTGCCTGAGGCAGGATTAGAACTCACGTCGCCCAGTTTCTAGCCTGGTGTCTTAACCACCACACCAAGCTGGCTCCTGAAGAAGGATGTGGCCTTAGTTTTGCATGTCTAGAACTGTGCAAGGCACGACAGAAATGAATGATGAATCTGAGACTGTCAAGGTTGTCAATTCAAAGGTGGTCTTCCCACAACACTCAGAGAACCAAAACCTAGCCAAGCATATTTTAGCCCTAGCCTGTGGTGCAAAACTGGGTCATGCAAATCCAGTCAAGTGGGTTCATTCAGTTAATCATGGAAAAGGGTGTGGCATGAACACCACCAAAATAATAAAGGTGGGATAAAAAGCTAATAAATAAATAAATAGATAAATCCGTAGATCTGAATTTATAATAAGGTGAAGGATTGAAATCTCTTTGTGAGGGTGAGCGTGGGAGAAAAAGGGTTCATGTAATGCTGAAAGGGCCTGAGCATCAGAATTTTCAGTTTGAAAAATAAAGATAGGCAAACATGTTCTCTTTTTAACCCCACCAGTATTTTCAGAAATAATGACATTTATTTTGAAATAAAGAGGAAGCAGTAGTCAGCCCTGCCATTACTACTGGCAAGGGGTGTTCTCATTCCAGTTCTCAAGATCTGAGTTTAGTATTTTGATAAGGGGCTATATTTCAATATAACATTCAGTTTCACCTGGAGACCCCTCTGTGTGGGGCTTTCTTGTTGCAGCATTAGAAGGCTTGCAACAAAATGTCAACATCTTTTCAGTTGGTGACTTTTATTCCTATTGATGCCAGAATGCTAGAAATGGGGCAAATGTTGGTTGCCAAACAAACAGAAGAAATGGATTTGCTTGTTCCCAGTTTCCAAGCCTTTACAAAAACATACTTCTGCAACCAAGAACTGACCTTTAATACATCCTGTTTGGCAAAGGACAAAGCTGTCTTAATTTTTGAGTGACTGGGTGCAGGTGAACCATTAACTCCTCCAGATAAACCAACTTGGTTTGCAAGACTAGAAACAAGGAATATTCCCACCCTTTTAACAGTCACTGTCTGACTCCATACAGACACCTTAGAATGCAAGGGGCCTTGCAGCCTTCCAAATGGTTTTGGACTACAGCTCCCATCATCATCTTTATCCATCTCCCAACCAGCTTGATGGGAATCGCAGATTACCAGTAGTTGGTGGGAGGCAATTTCCCATGCCTTAAAGCAGTGTTTCTCAATCTCAGCAACTTTAAGATGTATGGACTTTGGGAATTCTGGGAGTTGAAGTCTGTACATCTTAAAGTTGAGAAACACTGCCTTAGGCATAAGAATACACAGCGAGCCTGTCTGGATCAGAGCAAATTTCCATCTGGTCCATCATAAATTGTAATTAGCCAGATGCTTCCAGAAAGCTTGCAAGCAACAAATGAAAACTAGAGGTTACTTTGCATCATTTGCCTTCAAAGGAAGCAACTAGTATTTAGAGGTAGAGTGGCTGTGAAGCTAGAGGCTCTATTAAGTTACTCTGGTCCATAGCAGTTAATACATTTCTCCATAATCAATTTATCTCATCCCTGTTAAAACAGTCACCTCCAAGCAGTGAGTTTGATGAAGTGATTGCACAAAGAAATGCTTTCGTTCATCCACCCTAACCCTTCAACCGAACTGGCAGCTTCCATGAGTGTTTGAAAAGGGGAAATAGGTAAACAGCCTCAGCCGCAATCGGCTATCGTATGAGCAGCCCATCCACTTTTATTTTATACAAACTGCCTTTGGAAATGGATGTAGATGGCTTCCTCACTTTTCTAACCTGCTATCCGCCACGTGAATCCCCACTGGCCCTGCACCCATGTGTCCTGACTTAGCACATCCGGGGCCCATCGGGTGAAGGCAGGCAGCTCTCCCTAGCGGTCAGTGAGCCCTGTATCTCTTGCAAAGACCGAAGGGGTAGCTGTACACATGGAAAGAGACGCATATTTACATTTTGACCAATTACTCAACTCTTTTCCCCCTCCTTGTCAGCCCCAGGTCCCAAAACAAGGTGTTTGTTCCTACTTATCTCCCCACATTTCTGGGAAAAGTCCAAAAATCCTCTAATGCCCCCAATTCCCACCTGTTGTTTTACAGAAGGAGGGGCCAATGCCCAGCAGGCCCACCTACTCTGCTACAATATAGTCCACCCATCGCCCAGGCAGATCTAAACCCAGATGAAAGCAAAACTGCTCCAATTAAAAAGTCTGAAAAGTGCTGCTGTCTCTTAAAATCCGATATTATTATTATTTGCGCTGGAGCTGCTGTCTGACTGGGTGTTCAGTGCAGCTGGAGAAAACCAGGCACCAACCAAGACTTGACATAATCCACAAGCATCCGATCTGGAGCTCCATTACTCAGACGTTCAAAACGGTTGAAGGCTGGACAGCAATTCCAAATTTTATTCTAGCTGGAGCTTCCTGAGAGGGTCAGGTACTTCAATTATGTTCTTTAAATATTTGCTTCAGCCGTATTTATGTTTGCTTGTACAACTTTGCAGCTGCTTTCTGGAGGACTCATGAAACCTCTGGGTCAGGGAGATGACCAGGGCTTGTGGGGAATACTGCCTCATTAATTATTTTGCTTAAATTGTAGCTAAGAAATTGACTAATGAAGAAAAGGCTCCACTTAAAAATCAGTCTTTACCCCTGCTTTGGCTTTGCAATCCAATGTGTGGATTCTTGTACCGCACAAAGCCGTAATGTTATTAGTTTCCTTTTGGCTTAACCTGGTCTGCGAAGGTGATCCTACTGAGGTTCGTAAACCAAATTTCAGCAACCTGATCTTGTGGGGTGGAGCACTCTAGGAATCATGCAGGCTGCAGGTTGCCCAGCTGCAGATTAACTAAATATTACACAGAAGTGTAAGCGTAGCTCAGCTCATATGACCACCCTGAATATGTGTGGTGTGGAAAAGAAAAATGATGTAAAAAGTGAAACGCTGTTTTCATTCTGTTCTCTCTTCTACATTTCTCATTGTCGTGCTATTTTGTGCAAACTACCAACACCAGTTTTGCAGACCCTGCACGGCTTGCCAATTCCAGGTCCAATTTAAGGTGCTAGGTTTGACCTAAAAAGTCCTTCATGGCTTAGTGCCAGGATATTTTCAGGACCACCTTCTCCAGCTAGTTTTGGCCCAACCAGTTAAATATACCGAGGAGAAACTCTGCAAATCCCACACTGGGGGTGAAGGGCAAGAAAGTGCGGCTTTTCTGTTGCAGCACCAACCCTGTGGAGCAGCCTCGCTGCAGACATCAGACTGGCTCCCTTTTTGCTGGTCTTTTAGAAGCTCTTGAAGACCGAGCTGTTTCGGAGAACCTTCCCCTGATTTGATTTGACTTGATGTTGTCCTCATTTTACTGAGGTACAGTGC